ATGCCAAAAGACAGATGCAAGTATGTCAACATTTAGTTTGAAACCACACATGATATGGATCAAGTAGAATGAAATAGTTGTGCTACTTATTTGACTTTCCTTATAAGATCACAAAGCTTTTCAATAAAGTTTTTAAAAGCATCGATCACTTCTACAATCTCAAACATCGCAAATACTGCTCTATCACAAATACAAAAGCTCTTGAACAAATCCACAACTTTTAAATAAAATGATGACATAAAAAATATTGAATAACTAGCAACTTAAAATGAAACAACTTTTTATCATAGTTCGTGCCTGAAAGCTTGAAAAAAAAATTATTTTTCCCTTGTGAAGCTTCATACTTCAGGCATATGTATTGAAATTTACACAAACAATTTATTTCCATTCAAGTATTTAACTTTGTGGAGGTTGTTTTTCAAATCTTTTTGACAGGATTTTATGTGAAGTTCAATTTCATATGCAGCTTGACTATATTTAATTATTTTTTATTTTTTTAAATGTCCGATGAGATTTTTTCAAAAGTTTAATTTAAAATCCTTCAAAATCATCCCTCAAATATAACTTTTAATTCCCAAACTAGCACATTCAGTGACTTGATTCTCAACAGCATCTTATATCATCATTTATTTCAGTTTTTCGTCATGTTGCGTTGATTTATTCGACGTAGTTATTATCCTGCTTATCTCAGCTATATGGCATTGTAGAGGAAGCATAAACAACATATGTGATACATTTGAGATGGATTTAGATTATTGTTATCATTTATTTAAGCTAATGTGCTTGTGCTTACAGCAAATCTAATTTTAAGCGTTGAGCTTATGAGTTCCTCGGAAGTTACTTATGATTAGATTTATGATTTGAAGTTTAGGATGTACGAAATTTTAGATTTTTGGAAGCAGAGTTGAAAACTGAAGCTTTTGAATTGCATTTTGTTCTAGGTACAACTTCTCTCATCTTGTCACAGTCAAATATAATATAAAATGGAACCTATTAATTCTCGATTCTATAGGATTATACCCTGAGAAGCCTTTATACCAGCCCCAAGTTAAGATAAGTTTGCAAAAAACTCAATCTCTATTTTACGATTCAAGAAGCTCAAAAAGTCTCAAAGAACCATATAATGACGAACAACAACCCACATTAATCATGAGAATATAATTTTAAGATAGTAAAACGTGAGTTTCTTCTTATCTCAGATCATGCCGCATCATCTTGACAGGTGCTTTAAAAAAGATGAAGATTTATTAAGGATTTTTCTTTCTAAAGAATTCAGAATTGTACAAAAATGGACTAAAAAGGATTTTAATCTCAATATGCGAATTGAAATTTCCCACTCCAACAATCAAATTTGATCAAGAAATCTCGAAAAGCTTCAGTTTTTGCTCATAAAAGAAATCACCAATACTAGTCATAAATTCACATCATCATTTAAGCTTTTACATCCGAAAATTTATTACTCAAACCTTTTTCATTCGAAGAAAAATGATCCAAATGTCTTACATGCACCTTATGCTATAAATATTATCCGAAATGCCAAAATATCATTTTCACCTAACAACACTGAGAAAAATTAAAAAAATATCAAATATTATTGCCTGTAACTTTAAGCACCAAACAAACAAAAGTCTTTGATTTTTTTCAGTTAATCATAAAACTTTTTTGGATGTATACAAAAAAAAAATTCCATCGCCATTAGCACATTTATCTTTTCATCGACAAAAATATTCGAGGGGGATATAGATAATAAAAATTGATTGATTATTCTCAATTGAGTAGAATCAGTGCTTGAAAAGTGTTTACATTTTCTCATATTACATTAACTGTTCGCAGGACTTTCACCATGTGTGTGCGGACTTTTATAATAAACAGACTTTTATTCTCAATGGAAGTTATGAAAAATGATTTTTAAAATATATTTTTTTTGACTTGGCTTACGTTTGTTTTGGTTTGGGGGGTAGACTTAAGACTTTAGAATTTATTGAGATAATTTTGGTTATTTTTTTTGTGCTTAGATTTTCTCGATTTTCTGTTAAAGCTCATTCTACTAGTAATTTCTAAATATTCTATTCAAATGACCCAACCAGCCTTATAGAGAACTGCAAAAAAAAATAAATGAGATCTTCGCTTGCCTTCTATAAGGCTCGTATGATTTTGACTCCTCCCAATGTCGTTTGTTTTCATGGATGAAGACAAATCTGCCAGTAATTCATCTATGACTGAAAATTATGCAACTCACTGAATGCATGCACGTGTCTCTTGTGAGTTCCTGGATTCAAATCTCACCAAAAGCCAAACTAAAATCAAGCATCATCATCAGTTTTTAGAGATTCAGTAGATCACAAACCCACAATTAGAGGTAAAAGTAAAATACACTTAATTTAGATTGATTTATTTTGAGAATTACGAATAATCTTATAAATGTTTATAAATTTAATCCCTTCCAATTTTCCCTCAAATCTAGAAAACAACCTTTTGGCTGACCTCCACTAAAGAAGGTTTGAGCTATATAAATTCTAAGTTATCTTCAAGACACCGTCTTTTATGTAAATTATTTTCAACCCATTTTAATATTTCAGCAATATTTTTCCGCAACAACCGGACAAAGGTCCAATTTTTGGGATCATTTAAAAATGACGTCAAATAAAAATCAAATTTTTGAGGTTTGGTTGCCTTCAAATTATTAAAATTTCAATGAAGAACTCCTGTTTCAATGAATTTAGGACGTTACAGTTGAATGACCCCTTTCTACGACTATTGCATTTGTTGCTAGACAAAAAAGGTCCATTTATTATATTTTACATCCCACACACAAGCCATTCATAAGCATTTTCCACCTTGATTCAAATAAAATATTTACAATTTCCATCTGAGCATAGAAAAAGAACTTTAAAACAATCATATTGACTTCATAGAGCGTGTATTAATTTGTTTACAATTACTTCTCACACATTTAGTTCCTCCTCGCTCGAAAATTATATTTTTAGTCCAGAGATGTTAATGTGCGTACATAAATTGACTCTATACGATATGATAGACAAGTCAAACAATAACAATGAAATATCAAATAACACTCGATTTAATCGATTTCTGCTTCAATTTCTCGTCACATATCAAAAATGATATTGGCACCACCAATAAAGAACAATAAATTGAATATCATTTTCAATTATAGATGTATGAATATGAAATCATTTTGATGCTAATTTATGGCCATTTGTAAATACTTTTTCTACCTCACACAGCACTCTTTTTAATTCTTTTTTTTTTTGCTCCTATAAATCACTCGATTCACTTTACACGATGCATTATTCTACTTTTTTTCCGTAAACAACAATGATATTGAATTTATTGCTCACAGCAATTTTACACGTTCGACTCGATGGAAATTTCAAATTGAACTGAAAATGTAAAAAATAAATTTTTCTTCTTTTGTGTGCAACAAGTGAAAATTTGTTGCGTGACATATAGGCGAAACATCCGTGTGACATGATTTGATGTTTTATGTTGAACGTTTTCAATGTTTTGCTGTGTTCTTTGATGTTGTTTGATGTGATCTTAATGGATTGTTGCGGGAATTTTAATAAATGTTATGAAAAATATGCAATAAGTTAAGAATTTCATGTGTTTTTTAATCTCAACTGATTATACATGTCAGAGATTAATAAAAATGTATTATTAAAATTTCATAATATTTTATTAATCGCGCGTGCCTTGTTGCGTACAACTTTAACAGTCATTTTTAATTTTATTCTTCTTTTGGAAAAACTTTGATGAGTCAAAAGTGTCATTAAGGGTTGTTCACTTATGACGTCGGAAATAAACGGTCAGTTATCAAAAGAAAATAATGGATTTCTAGGAATTTCTAATGTTGCCCCCCCCCCCCCCCTCTAGACGTCATAAATGCATTGATTGTTGCCCAAGTCTTCATAATTTAAATTTATTTCAATGATGAAATTTCTTTTTATCGTTTATTATAAAATAATAAAGAGTAGCTGAAATGAGAGAGATTCTGAAATTTTAAAAATTATAATAATAATACGAATAATCAAAATTTAACTGGTTCAATAAGAAAATTTTATTCCATTTTTTTGCATAAAATCTTCAATAGACACTGGCATGTTTGACAATTTCTTCCTTCAATTTACAATTTCATATTTTTTTCATGATCATCTATTTGAAAACATTAAATAAATTAAAATAGCTAAGTTCATAATGTACAATGTGATTTTAATTAAGGTTTTTCATTTCATTTAAATAAATTATTAAAATTCATTAATTAAACTAAGGATTTTTTATACACATAATTTTAAATGAATGTTAAATGGACAAAAAGTTTAATTTTAAAGAAATTTGACGACTTTTCTAGTTGTAATTTCATTAAACTTTTCGTCATTTCATTTTTTTTTCAAAATCTTATTCTTGAGAAACATTTTGATATTTATTTAATTTTTTTTTTAAATCCTAATAGAGTCTATCTACATTACACATTTCTTTAATTAGATACACTTAAATAATTTACATATCACTGTCATCTTAAATGTCTAAAGACTTTTTCACTGGCCGAATTCTTTCATTTTCTTATTTTTACAAAAAAAAATTATTTATTTGAGCACATTAATCATTGATGGAATGCTTCTAAACTTTTTTTGATAGCATTTCTTTATGGATGGACTTACTTTTTTATGAGGTTTTTGTCGTGATTTTAATCTTACATGAATTGATTTATTTCTTAACAAATTCGAACATCTTTTCAGTTAATGGATGGCACATTTTTTGTCTCAAGTTATAGACAATAAGTCCAAAAATTTTGTATTTCAACACAAAGACACATGAATTAAATATTATTATATTTTTTTGTATCTTCGTCTTGAATGTTTTTTGATATTTTAAGGTTATTTTGATGCATAAGAAATTTAAAATGAATTTTATTTTATTTTTTGAGAATTATTTGAATTGATTTTGTAAGATTTTATTTAAATTTACTTAATTTTTGATGTTCAAAGAGACATATTGCCAATAAATTTAGATTTATGTCTTTATTGACTGAGAATCAGGATCTTTGAAACTGAATTCTAAAGCAAATTAGTTATTGATGATTCAATAAGTATTAAACACGTGACAATATGCCAATCAGATGCATAAGGCAATCTATATGTACCCTTAGTCTCAATAATCCTCTCAAATAATATTAAAATTCAAATCAAATTTTCTCAGCACAATTTACACATTGATCCTATTTGCTGTCATACAATACAAAACATTTTCCTCTCATAAATTATTAAAAAAATATTTACAAGCATAAAAAAAATTGAATTTGTTTCAATTTTCCCTTGAATATTTCTACATTATTGACATAAAAAATTTAATAATTTACATTTACAGAAAATATGAATATTATTTTTCAATAGATTCACTTTCGTCGCTTGTAATAAAGGTAATGATCAGGCAAGAGATAGTCTTTAACTTTATACAGTGCCTTGGCATACCAATGAATGCCATTTTGCTTACTACTTATACTATTTACATCATTATCATTACTAAACCAATTTTTAATTGTTTTCATTGTCCTAAATGGCATAAAACTAATATGTGCTAATGATTGACTATCAACTAATGCATAACATGATGCAGCTACAGAATTAACTACAACTGTTCCTTCCCGTGTCAACGGAGCAATGAAGCCCTTCGATAATACCGCTTTCACATCCGTCACACGTTGCGGCTCTAAATTATTATTAACATTGACTAAAAGGAAATCATTCTCTTCCACTTGATCAGCAAAGAGATATTTGGTTTCATGTGTATGCGGCTTCCATACCAGCAGCAAATGTGCAGGTGTTACGCGCAGTGTTGCACCGCCATTTGTCTTTATTTGTACAAATTCTCGTGTTTGATTTACTTCACGATCCAAAAACATTATGACTTCGCTGAAGACCGTCTCGCCATTACTATTGACACTTTGAACACGATCGCCAATTTTGAGATCGCTGATTTGTTTTTTACCATCTTTTTCAGTCTGTACGATGCTATCTAGTGAGAAACAGCCACTCGAGTGTGATGCTTGTGAGGAATCTAAAAAGAAGAAGATAAGAAGATAATTTTAAGCTCATTTACTTGATGCCGATGTTTGTAGCAACAACAAAAAATTCAATTTTAGAGTTAATTAAAGATGCATTAGATTATCCCCAATCCCATCTTCTTTCATGCGCAAGAAAATTAATGATCTGACCATCCATAATCTTCTTTTTGTATTCCATGTGCCAAAAAAGAGATATTTAAGACAGAACTAGTCAAACAATGTAATTTATTTATTTTACATGGACAGATAAGTTTTATTTTGGGCAGGTAAAATTGGGAATCTCATGAGAGATTCTATTCTGATGATGATGAAAAAAGGTCTTTTGCCTACTTAAACAACACAAAAATGACTTAAAGACCCGAACAAATAAAAATATTTTGGCTTATTGCCTTCCTCCTCTTTTTTGATGCATGAACTGCTTATAGTCTTTTTGAGGCAACTTTTTTCGAGTTGGAAAAATAGACAGGAATTGATGTCGAATGAAATTAATGAGAGGTTGTCATATGGACATATGGATAAGGATTTTTAAATTGGACATGATTAATATTAATCCTGGAAGAGATTCTTTTATTACTTTGTGGAGCATTGAATCACCAACTGTGGGGGAAAATTCGTTGTGCGTCATATTCTAGGAAGACATTACTATTTTCTCAGATTATGACGCATGCATTTGAAATGTTGGTGTCAACGTGCTCATTTTTGTGGAACATATTAATGTCTTCCTAAATTATGACGCACACTTAGAAATTTTCATTCATAACAAAAGAAATTCATCCAAAAATTCTTCACAGATGATTTACGTCAATATTTACGATATCCCATAAAGAAAACATCAACAGCTTCAATTTTCAATACACAAAATCTTCACTGAAACCCAACGATTACAAATCTAAATAATAAGAGGAACGTCTAATAAGAAGCTCAGCAATGAATGGAATTTATGGATGTTTTGTAAGCGACGAGAAGTAAGCATAAACACATCATCATGATTCAAAACCATAAAATGTTATTGGTGCTGCTTATATTTCAATAACAAAATACATGAATTTGCATAATTCAGGAACAGAAAAAAAAATCTGCTGATTTATGCACAGTGTGAAGAAATTTGCATTTGTGATGCATAGTTTAACATGACCTGCATTTTAGATGTGAACTGACCACATTGTAGGTACAACTCTTTTTTAACCGCATGATTGCACAACGTCATGTCAAACATGCACACTTAATTCTGTTGAGCATAAGAAATTTTTGAGAAATTTTTACAAGTTTTTTTCAGTGTGTATCAAATTCACGTCAGCGGTGGAAGTAATCAAAACATGATTTACTGGCAGTCGATGTTATAATTAAGTTCGCTTTTTATAATTGTGGGATTAATTTTTTATCGGGTGGTCTTGTGGAAGTTTTGTCAGATTTTTGGAAATTTTGCGTGCCAGTTTTGAGGAAGACATTACTGTTTTCCCCGATTATGGCACACGGTTAGGAGTTTTCAAAACCCCCTCCCCCGTCCACCAATCAATTTATTAAAAAATTGCCACAACTTCAATATAAATTTTGTTCTGAATATTAAGCACCTCAAGAATTGTTACACGGCCAATTATGTATTACATGCATATGACCCTGGATACAAATCAATTCATGAGGCAATTTGTTCCCTTTTTCTCTCTCATTTTTAACTTTAAAGTTTATTTGAAATATAATAAACGAAGAAATGTGCATTTATATATTTCTACATGAATAAAAGGCAAACGAATTGAGATAAATAATTCCATTATGTCTTCGATATCGAAGCACATGGGATTGAATTAGGTAATAAAGTTACTGGAGGTGAATCGAGTTTGAAGAGCATATTAAATTTTTTTTTGAAAATTGTGCGCAATATTTAGAGAAAACAGTTAAAGTTTTCCTAATATGGCGCACAGCAACTAAAATTTTCTTCTTATTTTCGTACACATAACTGACCGGATTCTTCCCAAAAATGATTCAATTAGAAGCTATGCATCCCACCCACCTACAAAGCAAACATCAAAAAGACTAGAAATAGAACACACGTCGCAATTCTACCCACAAAGAACTCTTATCCTTCTTTATTTTTGCGCAGCGCATATCTTGCTGTGAAATGCACATATGAACTTTAAGTCTCTCGTCTTTCATTCTGTTATTTCATACAATACATAAATATATCGATTCGGTAAACATGAAAACGAATACGCATTCAAAAGATCTCGAGACAAAGAAGAAAGGCAAAAGAAAACGAGGTATTATTGAGGTAAACAAGATTGCTGCAGAAATTATTAAATGAACCATGACTTTAAAAATAAGAAGATGAAGTTACGATTTTTTATTTTTGTATGAGAAAAAAAAAATTGTTGAGATTTCTTTTTGATGTGATAGAATTTGGCATGAAAAGTTAAAGGGATTTGGAAAGTCAGACGAATTTTGTGTGGTAGTGGAATTTTTCTTGAGAAATTTTGAAAGTTCAGTCAGTAGGAAAAATCATGTCATTTAGGAGAAACAAGCTAGTGGGTTGATGTGTGGATGAAGATATCCAAAATTTTAGCTTTTCAGAACGAGCTGAGGATGGTTTAGTTTTAACAATACCTTATCTAATTGCATCCACACTATCCTATGGGGTCTGACCCACCCTCTCCACCTTTGATTCATAATACTATCAATTCCAATTCTAAATTCATCAAATATCTTCGCAACATACACCAAGGTCTGGAATAATAAAATATTCATAAAATACCGTTCAATATTCCATTAAAGCATCATCAATAAATGTACGTAATGTATACATTCAATAGACACAACAGATTCATCCATTCGTACAATCATCTTACTCAATTCATACAACAAGAAATGATGAAAAATATTGAATGAAGCATAAAAGCATTCAATTTGTAGTATATAAAGAAAGTAAAGTCCACACAACTCAAATGAAATTCATAAATTTTTCTTCTCCATTCCTTCATCTTACCCATCTCATCTATTATGTATTTTTTTAATGTAACCATTTAGTTTCGATTTTATTACAACAACAAGAAAAGAGTCTTCATTCATAGGCAATACGTGAAAAGATATTAAAATACATAACATAAAAAAATGTTCATTTTAAAGATCCACGGCATCTACAGCCATTTTTCTCTTTAAATCTGCCTTTTCGCTTCTCCACACACAAAAATAAAAATCAAGAAGATGAAAAAGTAAAATTTTCGTTCAACTTTTTTCGATTCGTTTAAAAAGTACAAAAAGATTATGAAGGCAGAAGTAATTGAGTGGCTCATAATGATCTTTTTGTGCGGAGGATTAAAAAGGAACCTCAAAGGTTGTGAGAAATAAAAATGAATAAGATTTGCTGAAAGGAAATGAATTTGGAGGATTTTTTGAGTTCTCGTAAGAAGCTGCTGAGTTATAAGGGTACTCAGGCTCGAGAGCATCTAAGTTTGGTGGAAAATTCACAATTTGAGACTACTGTGCGTCATATTCAGTGTAAACAGTAATGAAGATCTCTAAATGTGACGCACAACTTAAAAAAATTTGGAAATTTCCATTTTCAACTAGTTCATGTGCATCAGATTCAAGAACCACATTACTGTCTCACCGAAATATGACGCACAGATTTGAAAAATCAAAAATATATTTATTTCACCATCAAACTGGTACGTCATCTTCGACCGAAACTTAAAATACCAACATCAATCCTCAAAACCAATAAAATTCTAATCCCATCAATGCAGAAACATTCTACAAAACCGGAACAGAAATCTTCCAATTGACACAAAAATCCCCACATTTATTGATCTTCAATTTTGCAATCGAAAAGGATGTTTGAGTTGTTCATAGTTATCTATTTTTGAAGCTTTAAAAAACAAGAAGCAACAGCAGCAGCAAAAAAAAGTCGATAAAAATACCACAGAGGATTATCATAGGTAAGCACATTTGTTGAAAATATAAAAATAAATGTGTGATAACAGAAACAAAAAAAAATAAAAACTTTGCATCTTTTTAAGTCGAGTCATAAATTATTTATGCTAATTTTCATCTCTCTATCTCACTCACTTGTTGTCTCATTTGTTGCTTGTACCATACTTTTAATAACATTCCGTGCATGAGACAAACACAAATTATAGTAATTATTTGGAGTTTTTAACACCCATTTTGCCAGTTAAGAAAAGTATTTTTTTTTTGCGAGACTTCTTGCACATTCATTATCATCATCTTCATCATCATCAACAGTATCAGGCAAGATATGTTGTGTGTTACATCGCAATTTGTGTAAGCACTTTCTGAAATTATTGCTTTAAATGTAACAAGATGTGGATGGTTCTTTGAGTTTACTGTTCTGGGGACTGTTCGGGTGTTATGTGACTGCAAATGTTGACACTACATAACTTGTGGCAATTAAAGCTAGCAAAGTTCCAACCAGAGGGGTAGGGTTGGAGGTTTTAGAGTCACAAAACATCCAAACAAATCCCTCAGACAATTTTAAGACAATAAGAAGTGAGCAAAAATATGCATATGGAAATTTCACAGCCTCATGAAAAAGTGAGACCTCAGGCCATATCTCATTATTTTTCATTACTTAAATTGAGAATAAAATGGTCAAGAGAGATAAATAAAGTAAGAAGTAAATTTTAAATTGAGTGGAAGTTTTCTTTTCAATCTTGCTGATTGGATTGTGGGATGATTTTTGATGAATTTTTCAATAATGTCTTGAGGGATCTTTTGAAGATTTATTTGGAATTAAGCTTATAATTTTGAAATAGGATTTATTAGAAAATTAAAGAAAGTCAAAAAGTAGATTTTTAAAAACGTGCGTTTTTTGTGGGAGACAGTAATGTGTTTCTTGAATATGGCGCATAAAATGAATTTTTTTACTGTCTTAATAAGTTAAGGAACCAGTTTGAGATAAATTCATCAACTTCCGTTTAGAAAATATATTTCAAGCACCCTTCAATAAACCATCCGATTTCCAAATCCACAATCAATTCACAAGAGATACAGAGAATGAAATATTAATCGAATTTCCGATTTGCCTCATAAATTGCACAAAAAAAAAATATATTTTTATTCCATCATAACAATTCATTCTCATTATTTTGACGGAATGACTATAAAAGAGCTTTTCGAATGCCCATTTTTTTCATCTCCTCAATGCCTCTTAATGGTTACACCGACTCGTAAGATATGTTGCCTATATCTCATTCTACGTACAGAGCAGTTATGTATCACATTTCATCTCTCTTTTTTCCATCTTCTCATTCTCGGATTCGATTTCTACAATCAAAAATGCCTCATTTCTGTTGTATATATATTGCTTTTGATGTATATAAATGCTCTGACTCCGTATGTTGTTGGAGATACATACTGCCCGTAAGATAAAAGTTGAATAAAAGAAGAAATAAAATATCGCTCTGTTGTACAACAAAACATGGCTTCTTTCTGTTAGGTTCGAAATATATAAAAAAAAATACAATTTTTTTCCTTCTTATTCGTTCGCTTATTTTTTCTTTCCTCGATGTCTATAAAAGAGGAAGGAGAGAAAGATTTTTTTGTGTGTTGTTTGTTGGCTGCTCATTCTTAATTTTTAATTTTTTTTGTCGGAATTTGTTTTAGAGAGAAAAAAATTTTAATGCGTTTTTTTGTTGGCTGTTTTATGGATACGATTTGGTTCAGGGTCAATAATTGGTTGAGTGGCTAATGAATATTTATGGAAGTTCTTAAAGTTTGTAAGAATTTTATTTTTTTAATACTTTTCATAGTCTCTTGTCTTGTTACGTTTTCATTCATATTCGATATGATCTTTAAAAACATTCGTGCGCTTTATTTTAGGGAGACATTACTGTTGTTCCAGAATATGGCGCATGAGGTCATTTTTTTTGGTGATTTCGAAAGTTTTACTATAAAATCTTTAAAATTCACGCTTTAATCGTGCCAATTAGACCCCACACATCCCACAATCCCATCCACCAGCCCTATAATAACCTTTCAGATTCTTTAAACTCACCAAACAAAACACAAAAAAACACAATCTTGTTATGCTTCTCATCCGTGAACAGCAAAACCAAAATACAGAAAAACCCAAAACATACAAAAAGTTAAAATGAACATTCGTCCATGCACGCTTGAAAGCAGAAATGAGAGATCTTGCGTGAGAAGATCATTAAAATAAGTAAAGTTGAGTTTACATTGCAAAATTTGGAATCTAATGCATTTAACAAACTTTAAAACTCTTTATAATTCAACGATTTCTTACCTGATTTCACAGAGCAATGGATGTGCGCTCGACTTTCATAGTAAACCCAGTCAAAACCCGCCTCAACTGCAAGACGAGCAAGCATTCCATATTTCGTACGATCACGATCTGATGTTGTTATATCGACAGCTCTACCTTCATAATGCAGTGAATCAACTGAATGAAAATCATCTTCATCCCATCCTTCCGTGACTCTAAGTTTGACACTTGGCCACTGATTCATTACTGATATTGCTAAAATGTTGAGTTTCTCTTTGAGACGCTGAAATTAAAAATGGAAGAAGAAATAAAAATTAGTTTAATGGATTTTAAGCAGTAGAAGAATGAAAGAAAAACTACAAAATTTGGAGAGTAATATAATAGATGTCAAAATATTTTGACATTTTTTTGAGGATATCCACATTTATTTTGTGTCTTTTTGCTTCATTTTTCAATTTTCTGAACAATGAGGATCGGAAGTTTGAGGATTTTACTTCGAACGCAAAATCTTACAATGAAATCAGATAATTCTATTTATAAAAGTTCAAAAAAATATTAAATTAGAAATGTTGAATTTTTTTCAATCTAGGATTGAACGCTTGACCTTGAAAAAAGCATCAAAAAATGAAACAATTACACTTTAATCAACTTAATTAAACATTTTAATAATAAAAAGAATAAAAAAAGTGCAAAAAGGAAGACCTTTGAAATGACGATCTTGGCAGGACTCGAACCTGCAATCTTCTGATCCGTAGTCAGACGCGTTATCCAATTGCGCCACAAGACCTCACTGTTTGATGGAAACGATTTGGCAAAAATACATTTTTAAACCACACAGCATTTCTAGATCTGTAGCTAAAAATAACCAAAAATGTTATTTTAGCTGAAACATGTGAAAATCAAGAAAAACACGCATAACTGTTCTATGAAAACGTGATATTGAGTGATCTTCGTGGGATAATTTGGAAAATGGAACTGAGACAATTTTATTGATAAGGAATTTGATTAGCTATGTTGTGATTCATAGGTTTATAGTAGAAATTACTATTTAAGAAAGAGTTGAAGGAATTTTGCAGTATTGTCAACGTGATCGCAGACATGAAAAGTGATATGAAGCTCGGGTTTAAGAAGAAGAAGAATTTTATTGATTTTTATTTTCTATGTTTAAAGTTTGTGTGAATTATAGACTAAATCTTTGACTGTCCCTCAAAAGTCTTCAAACAATAAATTTTAATTACACAAAAATTTCAAGGCAACAAGAATAATTTTCCTCAAAAATACAAAAGAAATAATTTCAAAAAAAGGAACAACAAATTCGCATCCTTTTCAATTCCTCAAAAAATAAACAAGAAAAAATATTTATTTTTTTAAATTTCTCAAAAATAAAATTTGCTTCGCCATTAAGGTCTAATTGCATAGCAAAAAAAAAGCTATGAAGTAATGTAAAATAAATAGAGAAGATTCATGAGTTTGCGTGAAGAAATAAAAGAACAAGAAATAAAGAAAGGTAAAGAGGCATATCCGTAACAAATAAAAACAAGAAGAATTGAAAGAAAGGCGAAACATAGCATAAAGCATAAAAATATAACAAACAAATATTTCTGTCTTGTTATTGTCACATAAAAGGCAATTGATCAGCAGGAGATTGTCATTGAACAAAATGCGACAAGGGTGAGTACAAAACAGAAATGTTACATCCACATAAATGCCTATGTTTATAGCATAAATTGTCTTATAAATGCATTTTATGTAATGAGCTTAAAGCGATCTCACATGGTGCGTGAAGAGATGAACAACATAAAAAAAAATATTCATTTTAAAATCAATTTACTTCACCTATCTTTTTTATTAGTCGGTTCCTGACTTTATGTTTATTTATGTTCCTTTTTTTGACATTTGACTTGTTATTCTCCTGATCTTGAAAATAAGTTTTGGGTGATCGAGGAGGGAAAATTCTCAAATAAGGGAGATCCTTGACTAGATGCAATTTTTTTGAAGTGGATTTTCTAAAGGTAATTAAATTCTATTGTAAGAGGTGCAAGAGTTATTGTAAAATAATTATTTATGGACTTTTAAGATCATAAAAATGTTTGTAGAAATTGACTCTAATAAATGTTTATTGAGTTTGTGATTTTAACTCATACTTAAGAGGATGATTGAAATTGTTTTTGTCAAATTTCATTAAACAATAATGATTTTTCAACTAATTTGTAGGTTGTCATAAAAATCAAGCTACGCAATTAAGAATAAGTTTTTAAGCTTAAAAGTAATTGCCAAATTAATTAATATTATGTTTATCAAATTTTAAAATAACCTGACTAGTTAAAGGATCGAATCCAAAAAATTATAAACATATCTAAATTTCCATATTTTATTCTTTTGCTTTTTCTTTAAATTTAAAAAAATTAAAACTCCCTTTAAAGTAAGAAATCTAAATCTTTGAAATCAATCTTGGTAATCGATCCACCTATCTACAATCGATATCCGATTCGAGAGCAAAATTGCCCATCTCAATATACAATTCTAGCCTCAAAAAGAGGCTATCAAAACAGTAACAACAATAGATCTTCTCTTCCTCAGTTCAGCAGACAAAAGAACAAGACAAGAAGAAAAAGAAAGAAGGAAGAGGAGAAAGAGAGGACAAAAAAATGTGCGCGGCATAATAACAAAGCACAAAAGCCAACCACAAAACCCATCCCGAGATGCGTCTAAATATTTTTCCAGTCCTTCTTTTTTTTTGTTCTCATTTTTTTTTTTGAAAAATGATATTTTGACTTTATTTCTTGTACACAACAATCGACAATGGCAATTATAGTAGGAGAGAAACTAGACAATTGAGGAAAAAGTTTCTTTATGAAAATAAATTTCAATAAATTTTAAAATGTAAATATTTCTTCTCTTTTTGTGGTCACTTCCAGGTGACATCTCCCTTGACGATGTCAATATTCTCCCAAATGAGAAGCAAATTTTCAGTAGTCTTTCAATTATTTCAATTCATGTCCATCTGTGTCAATGAATCACTTTATTCTTCTTCTTGGAAATATTAATTTTTTGGGAATATGAAGCTCATTTGTATGTGGGAATAAGAAATAAATTGAAGGCAGTTAAGGTGGATAATTAATTAATATCTGCCATGGCTTTGTTGTTGTAAATAAATAATCCATAACGAATTGTCATCATTTTAAAGCGTTACAAAGAAGCTCAGTGATACTTTTTTTGTGTACATTTGTGGAAGTATCAAATGAGTAATGAGGTTCTTCTTGTTTATGTTGTTTTCATTTTGTTGGATGTCAGTTTCTTTACTCAGTAGTTGATGGATGTCAAAAAATTCATTTTAAATGTTTTAAATTCTGAATATCTTCAAAGTTTGGCGCTAAAACTCAATATTTATAACTTTAACTGCTGAAATCATAGTTCAGATATTCAAGTTAAGATTCTGAAGGGTTGTAAGGTTTGTGACGGTGTGACAGCTGGTTGGAACTCATCCAAATATATCCGAATATTGTTCAAAATGACTCAAGCACCTAAAAGCCAAATAGTCAAGATATCCTCCAAGAAATCAAAAGATCGTCTTTGACAAGATGTGAGTTCAAATCCCACCCAGATAAAAACTCATCAATCCCGAAATCATCATAAATAAATCACCTGATAATTATCGACAATCCATTAAAAATCCACCAGAAATTGCTCACTCATGTCCAACAAATATCCTCCAATTAATCATGTGACAATTCGTCATTAGATCGTCATTTATTATTAAGAAGCACAAGAATGAATAGCCATCAGTGATGGCCCAAAAAGATGTCAAAATATTTTCAGGATTTCATTTATTTATTTACACAGAAGAATCAGAAAGATGAAAAAGATTGATTTTAGGAATGGCTTGAACAAATTATCGACACAGCCGTAAAAAAAAAATCTTCTTTGTTTTAATAAAGAGGAATTCATTCTGGCGTGACTGTGTTTTAAGCTTCTCAGCTCGGATTATGATTAAAATAACACTTTATGGATGAATTAATTGAATTTGTATTGAGATAGAGTCAAAAGGTCTGCTTTGGAATTTTTTTTGATGAGATTTGAGCGGTTGGATTGATCATTTTATGGCTGGATTATATTTTTTGATAAAGACTCAAGGTGTAGCATGGAAACATTTATAAAACCATGATTTAAACTCAAATTATTCATCATAACCTCGAATATATTCATCATAACCTCAAAATTCCAAAAAAATGCCCAATTACTCTATTTATTCCAAATGTTCTCGTGACGATCAAAATCCCATCCATAATTCGATGTCATGCGTAACAAAACAACTCCAAACAAACATCAAATCATACAGAAGCTTTTCAAGTCAGACAGTAATCATTCAAGATCGTAATCTTCCATTTGATGCCTCATTCCATCTCCAAATGCAATTCATTATTTATGTGATGTTCATGTTTGTCTCACAATTGTTGAATGAATAAAAATACATAAATATACAAATTTATCTACCGCTGCTGCTGCTGCTGCTGTTGTTTTTCTACTTGGGACTGTTCGATAAATCAGACTTCAAATGTCATTTTAATGGAGGTAAAATGGCTATTTAATGGTTTTTAACTATATTTATAAATAAGGTTCGTGGATATATTATGTGAATTTTGAATATTGCTGAATTATCTAAATACTTCATCCACCTTACTCAACCCTCACAAAATTATGCATCAATTTTGCACAACCCGTCTCCACTCATACTCATCCTTCCATCAATTTTAATTCTTGTCACTATCATTACACCCATTCATGTAAAATTAATTTCCTTAATAGTTTTTAAATTTTCTGTATGCGCACGTATAAAACTGGTGTTATTAATTCTCAATAGACAAGATAATTGCCATATTATATTACAAATAATGAAAATGAGCAATAATAAAATAATAATAATAATTATGAGATGTTTTGTTGTGAATTAAATTGTGCACGTGCATGAACTTGATAAATTTGTGCCTTTGTTGAGTGTTTAAAATCGATGGTGGTAAGTGGAGTGTCGTTTAAGTGAAGTGGGACCTTTTTATGCACTATATGAGCTACGGTTAACAAAAAAAAAAAATACTCTTGACATTCAAAATATTCTTCCTAACCTCAAAAAGATCATAACTTCATCAAAAATATTAATCATAACCTCAAAAGTATTCAACATAACCTCAATTTTTAAAAATTCGCCCTAAGGTTAATCACACAAAAGAACTACACATTTAATCCACTTGCACTTGACACATTCTCAAACTTACTTTCGTCAGTTCG